GGCGTATGCACTCACCACACAGACAGAGACAGAGAGACAGAAAGCAAGAAATCACCCCCCAGGGGGGATGGCCACACCGCAATCCCTTCTCCTCCGTTCTCTCAGGATCTTGGGCACGCACGCACACGCGCCCGGCGTGAGTTTAAGCCACCGGTTCTGGGCCCCGAACCGCAGTCGACTACATGGGAGTCCAGCGACATAGCCATTACGCTAACTGCTGGTCCCTTACCTGATTTTTCATAGCTACTCAAGCTCATCCATAGCCTCTACTTCTTGCCTAAGTGTCTATTTTCTTGTTTAAAAAAATAAATTTCATTCATCTTTTTTTTTACTTGATCAGAGAGAGGAAGAGAGAAAGTAAGCTGCTAGGTCCAGGACTCGCGCCATAGTCAGCCATGTGGAGGTCCAGTGCTTAGCCACTACGCCATTGCCGGCCCCGAATGACCCTTAACACATGTTTTCATGTTACTCCAAAATTAGTGTGCAACTAGGATTTCGCTTAGTGCTGTTTTTACACAGTCGCTGTTTGACTCAGTCATTGCTGCGTTTAATAGTGCACTGTGTGTGCAGAGCCATACGTAAAGAGACCTGAAATCCAAACTCTGAAAGCCTTGCTTTCAGAGCTGCATAAAAAAATAACAGAAAAATTTATCTTTTTTTTTTTAATTTAGTTATTTAATTCAGTATAAACAGAATTCTACTTTGGAGCATTCTTTATCCATCAAACAGGAACTACTAAGTGTTAAATTTAGGTCAGGGGAACCAGCAGTTAGCGTAATGGCTATGTCGCTGGAATCCCACAGTCAACCATGGTTCGTGTCCCGGACCCAGTGGCTTAAAACTCACGCCAGGCGCATGTGCGTGCGTGCCCAAGATCCCGAGAGGAGAATGGAGAAGGGACTGCGGCGTGACCATCCCCTCTAGGGGGTGATTTCTCGCTTTCTGTCTCTCTGTCTCTCTCTGTCTGGCGAGCGCACACGCCCTATAGCAAAAACCTCTCAAAAAAAAAAAAAAAGAAAAGAAATTTAGGTCAGGATTGACCTTCTTACCCTATTAGCCTTTCCTAAAAGATACAACAAAAATCGCTCTTAATAAATCATAAAGCAGTGCTGTCCTTTTTGAGCAAACAGAAACTCTTCAAGTTTTGTTTTTGTTTTTTGTTTTTTGTTTTTGTCTTAGGGTGCATTCACTCATCAGAGACAGAGACAGTGAGAGGGAAAGTGAGAAATCACCCCCCTGAGGGGATGGACATTCCATAATCCTTTCTCCTACATTCTTCTCCTGTGATCTTGGGCATGCATGCACATGCACCTGGTGTGATTTTGAAACCACCTGGTCCAGGACTCAAACCACTATCGGCCATGTGGCAGTCCAGCAACGTAATTGCTCTGCCATCTGGTGGTCCTGGAGAGCTCGTTCTTAGGGCATAAACCAGAGAAAAGCCCACTTAGAAGATTCCTTTTGGTTTACTTGGTACTCATAGACATAAGTCAACTCAGAACACTCTCAGCAGAAAATCGCCCCCGTTGTAAACTATCAATACGGGAATTCTGAGTGCTGGCCATGGACAAGAACACTGACCTGTCCCTGTGCGTTTGCCGTCAGCTTTGTTTTGACTCGCACTGTCCAGCCGTCAGAAAAAGGCTGCGAGTTACTCAACGCTGTTTCGCGTCAGCCAATGGTGCGGGGGAGGCGGCTGGGGGCCAGGGGCTGGGGCCTTCACCACCATGCCACACCACCAACTGGTCCCACTTAGTTTTCTAGTTAGGAAGAAAACTTCCCACAGAAAGGTACTTGTCTCCATACCTAGAGACATGTTATTTATGAAAAATTCATTGTTGAAATGTGTTACTTTGAACAAAATATCACAGATGAGAATGTGTGGTCCCTGGGGGCGGGTGGGATCCCTTCCTCACGGTTTACCATGGAAGCACCATTTTCTGTGTTTTGTACGTTTGTGGGCTTAAAAAACTTATAAAGGTATCAACCATTTCTTTATCAAGTAAACAATTTGATAATGCATGTCAAAATATACAGTCTGACTTCAGCATCAGCCTAGCAAGTGTATATGTATTTCACCATATGTAAAATCTGGTAGTTTATAATATAATGGAGTACTAATCTTTTCACGTTCTTTTCCCAAAGCATGCATCACGATTGCTAGCCTAATTTTTTTTTTTTTGAGAGATTTTCACTGTAGGGCGCGTGCGCTCGCCAGACAGACAGAGAGAGACATAGAGACAGAAAGCGAGAAATCACCCCCCAGGGGGGATGGTCACGCCGCAATCCCTTCTCCTCCATTCTCCTCTCGGGATCTTGGGCACGCACGCACATGCGCCCGGCGTGAGTTTTAAGCCACCGGGTCCGGGACACGAACCGCGGTTGACTACGTGGGAGTCCAGCGACATAGCCATTACGCTAACTGCTGGTTCCCACGATTGCTAGCCTAATTTTTAAAAATCAACATGGTTCATTATCCTTTGCATCTGTTTTCCTTAGTGTGATTTCTAATCAAGCATATCCTATATTTCCAGCAGTTGTCTATTAGCGTGTGCTTGAGTTTTATAGTCTTTATAATTTTCCTCAGAATTATTTATTTATTTATTTATTTGGAGAGGGTTTTTTTTTGCTATAGGGTGTGTGCACTCACCAGAGACAGACAGACAGAAAGCGAGAAATCACCCCCCAGGGGGGATGGCCACTCCACAATCCCTTCTCCTCCGTTCTCCTCCATTCTCCTCCCGGGATCTTGGGCACGCACGCACACGCGCCCGGCGTGAGTTTTAAGTCACCAGGTCCGGGATGCGAACCACAGTCGACTACGTGGGAGTCCAGCGGCATAGCCATTATGCTAACTGCTGGTCCTTCCTCAGAATGATTTAACTACTAATTTTTATCTCACCCTGTCACCAATTCCCCCAAAAGCTTATGTTGTGACCACGTGGGAGACTTGAATTTTGCCATTGGTAGCTCCAGTAGACTGTTAGGAAGTTTATCTTTAAGGCCGCACTGCCAGTACAGAGGCAGGTGTAGGCAGACGCTAGGGGGAGCAGTCGCCGCTGTATTCGGGTAGGTCGTACCAGGACTGAGTCTGTCGTGCGACCTCCTGGAACGCCTGTTACACTGTGTTCATAGGCAGGTATTCTTTATCTTTGAAAACCGGGACCAGAAGCTGGTGTAATGGCTATGTCGCTGGACTCCCATGTAGTTGACTGCGGTTTGAGTCCCAGACTCGGTGGCTTAAACTCATGCTGGGCGCGTGTGCGTGAGTGTCCAAGATCCCGAGAGGAGGGAGAAGGGATTGCGGCGTGGCCATCCCATCTGGGGTGGGGGGGGGTGATCTGTCTCTGTCTCTCTCTTTCTGGTGAGCGCAAGCACCCTATAGCAAAAAAAAAAAAAAAGACAAAAATAAAAGAAAGCCACTCTTCTACTACACAACAGCAAAAAGTTGACTAGCACCCATGAAGACTCTATACAGTATATTTAAATAAAAAATTCCTTAAATTTTTACACATATGGCAAAATGCCTGAAAACAGGGAAAATACCAGCATAATGGACCCACGAAGAAGTGTGTGTCTTCAAGTTTGAGTTAAGTCATTACATTTGTTTATTTACTTTTCCTCTGAGCCAAAGAGCTGGAGAGAGTGCACGCACCCCCAAGATCCTGGGGTCACGATCCGCCCGCCGCCAGCAGCCCCGGCTAAGGCATGTGTGTGCCTGAGCAGTCCAGCGAGGTCTGATGTTGACCCAGACCCTTCTCACCGGACCGGCCTCGAGTGTTGCACTTTATGGCTGTGCCACTGTCTGCCCCCTACATTTTTTTAAGTATATATATTTATTTATCTATTTATTTGTTGTGATTTTCCAGCCTCCAGGTCTAGGACTCCAGCAGCAGTGGACCATGTGAGAATTCAGCACCTCAATCACCCCACCACATGCTAGTCCCATGGCCCCCAATATTATTTTTTAAGAATTATTTTGTTCAACTTTATTTATTTTTTTAATTTGACCAGAGAGGGACAGGGTGAGAGAGGGGGGGAAAGTAAGAAAGCAAGCCATGAGGTCCGCGACTCAAGCCGAGGTTGGCCAGGTGGAAGTCCAGTTCCCTTAACTACCACGCCATCTCCTGGTCCCAACTGCCAATTTTATTTTATTTTATTATTTTTTTTGGAGAGGTTTTTACTATAGGGCGCGTGCGCTCGCCAGACAGGCAGAGAGAGACAGAGAGATAGAAAGCAGGAAATCACCCCCCAGGGGGGATGGTCACGCCGCAATCCCTTCTCCTCCATTCTCCTCTCGGGATCTTGGGCACGCATGCACACGCGCCCGGCGTGAGTTTAAGCCACCGGGTCTGGGACTCGAACCGCGGTCGAGTACGTGGAAGTCCAGCGACATAGCCATTACGCTAACTGCTGGTCCCCCAATTTTATTTTTTTTAAATAAAAATGCTTACAATATTCTAAGGTAAACTTTGTAAATATGTACCAAATATGCAGGTCTATTTTATTTGGTGTTTTGTTCCTTGGTTAAGATTTATACTGCATATTTAATGAGATATGCAATTGCCACCAAAAATGATAACCTTTTACAATTAAAAACTAAACAAAAAAACCCTTTTAAAGTTATTCACTGTACGAGAACAGAAAATGAACCATTACAACAATGAAAAATTTTTTTATTTTTTTTTAACTTTTTCAAATATGATTCTAATGTGGATTGACTTAGCATTTAAACAATTACATAAAATACCTAAAGGAGGTGAATTAATGGTACTCTAGCAGGGTAAAAGAAAATCTTTTTTTCCGAGCTTTTAAGTGGACAAGAGGGATTATCTAACAGAATCCTACCCAGGAAAACGGCTACAGTACTGTGCTTGGAAAAAAATTACCTGGCTGCATGTAATCCTTCATACATCTCATGCTGCTGCTCCTTAAGACCGCCAGGAGCAGCTGTAGGTCTGGCACTTCAGGTAACGCAAAACAGCCAAAAAAGGCTTTAAGATAAAAGTAAAACTGTACCACATCTTCTGAGATTCCTGAAGCAGATTGTCAGATCAAACACTTTAGCTTAAAAAAAAATCTGAGAAAGACTGTCGATTCTATTGTTCAAAGCCTCACCCTCTAATGAACTACAAAACGAACTTGGCTGACGACAGTTCTTCCATCGACGCGGAATACAAAACTCTGTGTTTTCAGCAAGGATAGTAACTGCCAGGGTCTTTTGCTCCATTATCTTCTGGTCTTCCAGTTTATTTCGTGTTGAAGTTTTGCCTAACAGAGATTCTGAAACGTTTATTACCACTTATTTTTTTCTCTTCGATTAAATACCAATGACTTGGCGGTGGAGCTTGGAAAGGTATTCTACTTTAAATGTTTAAAATCAGTACCAAAAAAGTATACAGGTTATTATTCTAATTGTTAACATTTACAAAACTTAGAGTTCATTCGAAATAAAATAAAACGATTCTTTTTTTTTTCAAATAGTGCTTACAAGGCACAGGAGCTCCTTCGTGTATTTACTGAAGCTGAGCAGTTTGGCATCGACAAACACACCACTTCAGTTGACCTTCAGTTCCAAACAGGCTACCATCTAGTTCCTGTCGAACTAAATTGCCAAGAGTATATGGTTTTTATCTGATTTGCATAATTTAATCTTAATAGACATTTGAGGAAAAATATAGGTGGAGGGTCATTATTTTGATGAGAAGACACAGAAATAATATCGTTGGAGGATGACAGTAATAATAATCCATTGACCCATCTGAAATTCTTAACAGAAACTGCGTTCAATAGGAGACAGAACTTGTAAGATTTTTTTTTAAAAAGCCAAACTGATAAAAGAATGTCATGAAGCAATCTTCACCGGAGATATCACAGATTTTCCCCAGTTTAAGATGAGAAGAGATGGAAGTGTATTTCTGATGTAACGGCAACGTATTAGTCCTGACAAAAGTTTTCTAGCCAATTGCTTGCTCCGTGAGCTCAAGCTTCAATGTTCACATGTATTTCCCAGCAGAGGACAAAGGCTAGAATTCGATCAAAGTCTGGCAAAAATGGACGGTGATGCTGAGCAGCAGCCACTTGGACTTCGTAATGAATTCCTAGTTATTACAGCTCACTCGGTCTGAGCTGGACTCACAGCAGAGGGTTAAAATAAAGACGTCTGATTTGCTACCTCCACCTTCTTAAAGGTGGCTAAGGGGTTCCACGAAGCTTGTCATTGTAACGTGACCTAAAATCTTTCAAATCTTAAACCGTATCTTAATAGTTTCAATGTTCTGAATCAGAAAAGTACATGATTAACAGAGTTGTTCGGTTGTAAACTCTGCTATCCGAGTATCTGGGTGAAAACCGGCCCATGTTCCAAGTTTTTCATAGAAGATATTTCCCCCCTTGATTTGTAAACCATAGTAACTTTTCATATTTAATAGGAATTTGTTTTAGCTATAACAATTTATAGATTGGATCAAAATGTGTTGTTTTAAGCAGTAACTTAGAACGGATCAGTCGTGTTCTGCATAATCAGCCGACGGGATACAGGAACAAGTGGCCAAAGGCCCCTGCCTGGGGCAGTCTCGTCCATCCACCTCCTTACTGCATTGATACCTAGAAAAGAAACAAAAACCATGAGGCCATTAAGAAAACCACGAAAATGCAAACGAAACCAACTCGTTTGTTTGCAAGGAACACTCTCTGCTCAAAATAGTTTTCTATGTTAAATCATGTTCCTGAATACAGACCTCTAGATCAACTTTTCTCACACTTGAATGTGCACATACAAGCGGTATCTTACTACACTGCCAGAAAATGCAGATTCTGATTCAGTAGGTCTAGGGTAAAGCCCAAGAGTCTGCATTTTTAAAGGAATTGTTTATTTTAATTTTTTTATCATTATTATTATTTTTCAATTCACCAGAGAAAGACAGAGAGAGAGGGAAAGTGAGAAAGTAAGCTGCCAGGTCCAGGTCTTGAAATGCTGTCAGCCATGTGGGAGTCCAGCACTTAGCTACCACACCACCTGCTGGCCCCAAGATTCTGCATTTTTATCATGCTTCCAAGTGGGTTCAGGGTGCAATTTGGGTGACAGGGGTCTGTGTCCTTTTTCCCACATTCATCTGAGGCCACCTGGAGTTCACTAAGTGGCAAGTGAGTTGGAAGGGAGATCTAGGGGGATTATTTTTTAAACTTCATAGGCATAGAAGCACAGCATGTTTTATTTCATTGTATGAGGGAGATAGTTGAGTAAGCTAAGTTTAATTGACTGTTTTTAGCACTACTATGGACTTAGACATGTTATAATTATCTGGAAAGTCTGTTGAACTAAGATGTATTTTATAAAAGGCCACAGATCGGAACCAGCATATGGCATAACGTAATGGTTACTTGCATAACTCCCACATAATAACTGCACTTCAAGTCCCAGACCCGGCGGCTTAAAACTCCTGCAGGTGCATGTGCGTGTGTGCCCACGATCCTGAGAGGAGACTAGTGGAGAAGGGATTGCAGTGTGGTCATCCCCCGTGGGGGGTGATTTCTTGCCTTCTGTCTGTCTCTCTCTGACACTCTGGCAAGCACACACACCCTGTAGCAAAACATCTCTCCCCCCACAGATCCTTTACTAATGTAGTTCAAAAAAGAAAAGCATATGAATTAAGATGTAATCGAGTAACATAACTATGTGAGTCTAGATGACTTATATGCGATATCACCATGTAACTATGTGACATATTTAGTGCACAGAAAAATCTGTAATCATGCTGACCTCACCAACAACCATAACTAATGATTCAAAATCCTGAAAAAAAAGAAAGATTCCTGAGAAATTCTACAGATTTTACAGAACTATGCTCTGTAAAATAATACAATATCAGCTAGTGATTTCTATTTGTGCATTCGTGGTTAATTTCTTCCATTTATTCCCAGAAATGTCATAACATCTCTTTGCTGTTAAGAAGGATGAATATTACATTTCACCATCCTAGTCACAGTGCAATCTACTGAGCTTTATCATGTGTTCAGAACTGACCTGAGTCTTCCCCACATCGAAACACCAGTCACCCAGTAAGTTGCCAGGGCAGCATTTCGCCGTTATTACATGGCTGTTCATCAAAACCAAACCGAAACTAACACATGAGAAACCAGGTTTCCATGAAGTAGTTTGATACAGATTATTTTGATTTAGATGCTAATCTCTTGCTTCTCTTGGACTTTAGTAGAGCCGCTCTAGACTGCAATTTATAAACAGCTGTCCCGATAGCATCAACGTTCAGGTCTTTATGTTTATTAAACAGTATATCTAGCTGCTTAAGTGTTTATGGCTTTGTCCCAAATGAGCTCCTTCGTTTAGCTTTTTACTGACTGCACGTTTATAAACGGCAATGTGTTAAAGAACCTGATTTGAACTACAGGTTTTAAAAAAAATATTGCTTAAAGGGAATCCATTGTGTTAGGGATAACACATGCGCTGAGGTCCTGCTGTAACCAGACTGGGGGGAGCACTGGTCTGGGCTAAGATGATGTAATTATCTTACACTGGGCCCCACTGAAATTCTGCTACTGGGTGGTCAAGTATATGACCACAGAAGAACAGAGAAAAACAAAAGTAATAAATTCTTTTTTTTTTCTTTTTTTAAAGAATTATTTTTATTACTTATTTATTTTAATTTGTCCAGAGAGGGACAGAGAGAGAGAAAGAGAAAGTGAGAAAGCAAGCCACCAGGTCTAGGACTTGAACCATGGTCGGCCATGTGGGAGTCCAGTGCCCTTAACCACCATGCTATCTGCTGGCCCCGGAAGTAATAAATTCTATAGTCCTGAGAAATGACAAAATAATGTCATGCTTGAAGTTCACTATTTTGGGACCAAGCCCTGCTATTTAATGCATTACCATAAAAATGACTTTTGTTCATCAACTTATTTCTATATAAAGTTAACTTTAATACTAGCTAATGCTGGGGTTAACAGTTGATGTAATGGCTATGTCCCTGGACTCCCATGTAGTTGACGATGGCTTAAACTCACACTAGGCACTTGTGTGTGCGTGCCTAAGATCCCGAGAGGAGAATGGAGGAGAAGGGATTGCAGCATGGCCATCTCCCCTGGGGGGTGATTTCTCATTTTCTGTCTGTCTCTCTCTGTCTTTCTGGCAAGTACACATGCCCTATAACAAAGACCTCTCTAAATAAATAAATAAAATGCTAGCTAGTGCTGCAGCTTGGTCTGCGGCCAGAAGCGCAAGCATGAGTGATTTGATTCCCTGGGTCAGCTAAGACATCTGTGAGTCATTCACAAGTAAGTAATATTGTTTACGGAAACCACTTGCCTTAAGAAAACTGGAAAACTGCCAAATCTATAAAGCATAACAATCAAGAAATCAACTTATCTTACTTTTATGAAATAGGAATTTATTTTGCTTGAAGAGTTAAGTCTCATTCTCCATGGTTAATGCAGGATTGCTCATACCTTAAAGACAAAAACGTAAATCAGCCTGGTAAAGTTGGTTTGGAACAAATACGGAGACGTGATTTTTCATCTGTGGATCCCGCAGTGCACTTCCGGAGGTGCCTTGTCCACTGTGGGTGTTTATAACACGGCTATATAAAACCAGGATACAGTGTTAGCCACGGCCATTTTTATAAGCAAGCAAAGCACACACACACACACACACACACACACACACAAAGGAGATCACACCTAAGAAAGGCAGGGAACGAAATAACCAAAGAGACATTGAACCTGTCACCGCTCACGTCACTTCAAGCCAGTGTTTCCTAATCTTCAGCTACTACCTTATTTCAGTCAAGCGAATCTTTAAGACCTTCTTCATCTCATCCATCTCACGCTTTTCTTCGTTCCTTTACAACACCCTTTACACTTTAGTTTCTCAAATCATCCACAAAACTAAGAAAAACTAAGCAAGTAATTAAAGAGTTCTGTGTTAATGTAGACTGTAAAGTGAAACCTGAGTCTTTTCTGGAAGAAAGGCAGCTCTCTGTTCTTCCTCCTGGCAACAACTGAATGCTGCCTAGACTTAATACATCACTCTGCCTCTAAACTGAGGGGTTCCAAAGCCAGAGGGGGCTACTGATTTTTGTTGGGGTAATGCCCAGTCCTCCCCATACGCAGGAAACTGGAAGGGCACGTTTGAGGTGAAGAGAGACCAGATGTGAATACTCAAATCATGAAGAGCTGCAGAGGACAAATACATAGTCCTTAAGAGTCAGTCTTCAAAGATAGCCTTGGACCAGTCAGTAGCATCGTGCTTAAGGCAGCTGGATCCCACGTGGCCAATTGCACAGTTTGAATCCCAGACCTGGAGGCTTCAAAACCACACCTGGTGTGTGTGCGCACTTGCCAAAATCCTGAGAAGAAAATGGAGAAGGGATTGCAGTGCAAACCCCCCAGGGGGTGTTTTCTCACTTTCCTTCTCTCTGTCTCCCTCTTTTTCTCTAGTGAGTACATGCACTCTAGAACATTATTTTTTCAGAGATAACTTCTGTTTTAAAGAATATGACTGATTACATATTAAATAATGACTAGAATTTTTACCCAGGACTAGCTGTTTTTCCACTATCACTAAATCCCAAAGATTTCAAATAAACCAGTAAACACTTTAAAGTGTAATGAACCAAAATTAAGCAGCATGAACGTGTGAACACCAGAAATAAAGAAGAAAAGGTCTGAAAAATGATATCAGCAAATATGGAGATTTTCTGGCTACTAGTGCTTTAATTACAGAAGTATGGTTTTGTACCTATTTATAGGAAACCATATATTATATACATATTACACACACACACACACACACACACACACACACCTGCATGTGTGATCGCATTGTGTCTAACCCTTATCAACCCTGAGATAAGAGATCTTTTTTTTTGGGGGGGAGAGGTTTTTGCTATAGGGCGCGTGCGCTCGCCAGACAGAGAGAGACAGAAAGACAGAAAGCGAGAAATCACCCCCCAGGGGGGATGGTCACGCCGCAATCCCTTCTCCCTCATTCTCCTCTCGGGATCTTGGGCACGCATGCACACGCACCTGGCGTGAGTTTTAAGCCACCAGGTCCGGGATGTGAACCGCGGTCGACTACATGGGAGTCCAGCGACATAGCCATTACACTAACTGCTGGTTCCCGAGATAAGAGATCTTTTAAAGAAAAGGAAGCTAAATCTAAAAGACGTTAAGGCAGCTTAATAATTATTGATACTGGGGCCAGCAGTTGGCATAGTGGCTGTGTCACTGAACTCCCACGTAGTCAACTGCACTTGAGTCCCAGACCCGGTGGCTTAAACTCATGCCGGGCGCGTGTGCATGTGTGCCCAAGATCCTGAGAGGAGAATGGAGGAGCGGGGATTGCGGCATGGCCATCCCCCCTGGGGGTGATTTCTTGTTTTCTGTCTCTCTGTCTCTGTCTTTCTGGCAAGCACACACACCCGATAGCAAAAACCTCTCCAAAAAAAAAAAAAATTAATAACTATTGATACTACACACTAATAAAGGGCAAAATTGGGATTTGAAATAAGGCCTAATTCTGAAGCTTTGCATCCTAATAAATTGTATTGACTGAAGTAATAAAAAAATTAAAATCAGCAACAAATACAAAAGAACTGTGAGCAGGGCATAAAGCCATCACAGGCAGCTGAAGTTACAGCAACTATGCAGTCACTTCACCGAGATATTCTGAAACCGAATAGAAATCTGAGCATGAAAGATAAAAACTAATTTATAATCCTTAGAAGCAGGTATTTTTTAAAAAGAGAGATTTTTCCTATAGGGCATGTGTGCTTGCCAGAGAGACAGAAAGTGAGAAATCAACCCCCAAGGGAGATGCTCACACATCCCTTTTCTTCCATTCTCCTCTTGGGATTTTGGGCATGCATGCACACGCACACCTGGCATGAGTTTTAAGGCACCAGGTCCAGGACTTGAACCATAGTCAGCCATGTGGGAGTCCAGCGATGTAACCATTATGGCATCTGCTGGTCCCTGTGGCAGGTATTTTTTTAACCGTTTGAGTTGAAAAAACAATTTTCTCATTTTTTTTTATACTGACATATTTTGAATTTATTTCTATTTTCTTTAATGTACAGTGATAAATACTTGGCTCTTTACAGAGGGAAAAAAGCCATGAAGATCCTTATTTCACAACACGATTTTCTACTGCTAACAGATACTAATCACAGTATTACACAAATAGAAGTCTGTTTGCTTTTTCCATTTGCTAGAGGTTGCACGTGCTCATGAGAGAAAGAGAAAGAGGGACCAGCAGTTAGCGTAATGGCTATGTCACTGGTCTCCCACGTAGTCGACCGCGATTCGAGTCCCGGACCCATGCCTTAAAACTCACGCCGGGCGCATGTGCGTGCGTGCCCAAGATCCCAAAAGGAGAATGGAGGAGAAGGGATTGAGGTGTGGCCATCCCCCCTGGGGGGTGATTTCTCGCTTTCTATCTCTCTCTTTCTGACGAGCGCACATGCCCTATAGCAAAAACCTCTCCCCCCCAAAAAAATTTAAAGAATGAGAGCGAGAGAAAGAGAGGAGAAAAGGGGAGGTAGAAAGCATTCCCCATGAGGAATAATCAGCTGCAATTCCCTCTCTTTCATCTCTTTCTCCTTTGGGAATCTTCTCATGTGGGGATTTGGGGCACGCTTGCACACCCGCTCGGCAGTGTGCAATTCAACCCCCTTAACCACCAAGCCATGGGCTGGCCCCAAATAGAAGTGTTCTTTGAAAATAATTGAAAATTTTCAATGCGAGTCCAAATCCAGTAAGAAAGAGTCCATAGATAATTAAGTGGAATGTTTTCTCACGACTTTGACCTTTCAAAAGTAAAATATAGCAAAAGACAGTCAAACAAGCCCTTCCTTACCAGCTTTGCCTTTTCCTGGGTTTGTGCTGCTCTCTGTCCAAGACTGAGAATCAATGAGAAGGTGGCTCTGAGACTCTCGCAATGGCTTTGCAGGAAACTGATGGTTTTCAGGACTGAATAAAAATAAATAGTTGTAAGTTAACTCGTTAGTATGGTTGAGTGTTCCTCCAAGCATGGAACGCAAAGCACTTACGATACAAGGTGATTGTAAAGTGACCCAGGATGACTTGGAGAACACGAGCATAAAGCATGAAGTCACACTGACTCACAGTGAGGAAAGTATTCTTTCTGCAGTCTCGTTCTTCCTGCTACACTGAGATAACACTAACTCTGGCAGGTCTCCATGTGTAACACAGAGAGCAGTCTTCCATTGAAGTGCCCGTGTAAAGAACTACATTAAAGAAAAACACTAACTTTGAAAATGATACGTGGATATGAGAGAAAACATAATCATAGTCGGAACACATGTCTGAGAAAAATCTAGCCTAGCGTTTCCAGAGTGGCCTAAACGGTCTTAGTTTGAGTACTGTCTGGCAGGAATATTGAAAACTCCTGACACTATCAGGCCTTACAAACCTGATACTCAATCTGGGGACTGAGGAGGGGGAGATCAAAGAATTTTCTCTGAAATTTAGGCGATAAGGGCTACCCCTTTGCATAGCAGTTGCACACTGCACAAAGAAAGCTGGATCCCATGTGGCTGACCAGGGTTTGAGTCAGCTTGAAAAACCCGACAGGTGCACACACGCGTGTGCGCCCAGAATCCTAGCAGGACGGAGAGCTGGAGGAGAAAGGCTGTGATGTGAGCAGGGCCCGCTGGACAGCGCCTGCTCTCAACGCTTCCTTTCTCTCTCATGCACACACACATGCTCGCTGGCATTAAAACCGTAACGAAAACCTAAAAATTAACTTTTACATTTTAGGCAGACATGCCACACACAAACATATTAGCTGATATGAAAAAAATATACACATAAAATATTTCACTTGGGAAAAAATTATTGGCATTGACACTCTCAGTCAGCTTTTAGAATACCCTAAAGTAGTCATTGTAATGGTCAAAAGAAAAAAACCTACTTAAAATTTTTTTCAAGAAATATTTTTTCATATTTTGCATCATTGAGTGTGACTATTTTAGATATACACATATACATATAACAATATTATAGCTTTATGTATTTTTAAAAATGTTTTTCCATAGGGTACATATCCTCGCCAGAGAGAGGGACAAAAACAGTTGAAGAGAAAGTGAGAAATCACCCGCAGTGGGGAGGCCCCAGGACAGTCCCTTCTCCCTTCTCCTCTCAGGATTCTGGGTACACATGCACACCTGCCCTGGTGATTTCCAAGCCACCAAGTCTAAGACTTGAACTGAGGTCAGCCATGTGGGAGTTTGCTACTTTAACCTCTACACCACCTGGTGGCCCCACCAACAGGGTCTTTCATTTATTTTTTTTAAGGATTAATTAATTAATTAATTAAAATGTGCTATGGACACATGCATTCACTAGGGAGAGAGAGAGAGAAGAGAAGGAAAGTGAGAAAGCAAGCTGGCAGGTCCAGGACTTGAACGATGGTTAGCCATGTGGGAGTCCAACGCCTTAACCACCATACCACCTGCTAGTCCCACCAACAGGGTCCTACTGTGATGACTCACCCCCAGACTCAGGCAGCCTCAGACCATGATGAGCATGCATCTGCGCAGTGTGCTCAGGGAAGTATCCAAATGCAGGCCCAGGACTGTCCCGTGCAAGTCAGCCTCCCAGAGCAGTGTGCTTCACCACTGTGCCACCCTAGGGCCCCGTAGCTACTACATAATTTTTGAGGACATGAGAATATCCTTTCGGTCCTTAATAATAACTTAATACCTACATTTTAGAATAATTTTGTACAGGTTTAACTGCTCCTTATTAAAAGTTGAAGTTGAATTTAAAAAAAAATTAAAAAGAACATGTCTCCACCCAAGTCTGTCCTATTCATATGAAAAAAATCTCTTTAATTCTTATTATCTTTCAAGAAAGGAACCATACAAGTACAGTGCACTAAGTAGGTCCCAGTTTAGGGACTGCAGATTCTTCACTTCCAACAGGATGTTAACAATGACAAGGACCCACTAAGTGAACAACGGCTACTGAATACCCAGTGTAACAATGGACAGAGTCTTTGCCTTCAGTAACTTTCATTTTCACTGAGGAAGAATACTACTTGGCGCCAACAGGTGGCCTGGTGGTTAAGGTGCCGGACTCCGACATGGCAAAAAAAAAAAAAAGGAGAAGAATAGTGGCTAACAAGTGGCGTAGTGGTTCAAGTGCTGGACTCCCACGTGCCTGACCGTGGTACAAGTCTTGGGCCTGGCGGTTTGAAACTCATGCCAGCTGCACATGTGAGCATGCCCCAAATCCCAACGGAATGGAGGAGAAGGGACTGCTGTGTGGCCATCCTCCCAGATGGTGATTCCCCACTTTCTCTCTCTCTGTCTCTCCAGTGAGTGCACGCATCCTCTATCAAACAAAATCTCTCTAAAATATTAAGACAACTACTATGGAGAATCTACGCAGGGTCTTCAAAAAGTTCATGGAAAACACATGTGATTAAAAAAAATCATGAATAGATTTCAAAATGTTTTGACCAGTAAACCTGTATTGTAATTCATGTTTTCATGAAACTTTTTTTTTTTTTTTTGGAGATGTTTTTGCTATAGAGCACGTGCGCTTGCCAGAAAGACAGAGAAAGACAGAGAGACAGAAAGCGAGAAATCACCCCCCAGGGGGGATGGCCATGCTGCGATCCCTTCTCCTCCATTCTCCTCTCGGGATCTTGGGCACACACGCACACGCGCCCGGCGTGAGTTTAAACCACCGGGTCTGGGACGCGAACTGCGGTCGACTACATGGGAGTCCAGTGAAACAGCCATTACGCTAACTGCTGGTCCCTTCATGAAACTTCCTGAAGTCCTCTCATATATATAAGTCACGAGTGACAATAAGAGCTATGAACAGAGAGTGAGGACAGAATGAGGGGGAACGAAGGAGCAGGTTACTGCTTCACAGGCGTTATCAAAGTGGCAGCGGCGTCTCCTGAAGTTCCACCAGTAGAACGTGCAGAAGAGGCGCAGACCACTCAGACAGTGGGGTACGAGCAGTTAGGAAGGGGAACTGGGAACTGGCTAGTACACAGCAGTGGGGAACACGCTCGGCATGTCTGAGGAACAGCGAGAAGCGTGTGTCCAGGAACGGCGAGTGAGGAGAAGCGACAGAGATGGCTTCAGAAGGGTGTGTGCAGCCAGGTCTGACCGGGTCCTCAGAGCCATGCTCAGGGCATTCAAGAGCTCTTATTGTGAGTGAAATGGGTGACCAGCGAGGGTCCTGAGCAGGGCACGGGCACCTCTGCTTATGTTCTAACCGGAGAACAGAGGAGAGTGGGGCAAACTCGGCCCTGGGGAGACGACTTTCCTGACTCATGAAATAAGCCATGTGAGAAGGGATGACAGCCCGGGCCAGGAAAGTAGCGGTGTTAAAAAAATCTGGAGGGGCCAGCAGGTGGCGTAGTGATTAAGGCACCGGACTCCTACGTGGTTGAGTGCAGTTTGAGTCCCAGACCAAGCAGCCTGAAATTCATGCCGGGCACATGTGTGTGAGTGCCCAAGATCTTGAGAGGAGAATGGAGGAGAAGGGACTGTAGCACAGCCATCCCCTTGGATGGTGATTTCTCACTTTCTGTCTGTCTCTCTGGTGAGAGTGTGTGCCCTATAACAAAAATCACTTGGAAAAAAAAAAGTATTTCGATTATAGATACATTTTGTGGGGATATATGGTAGAATTGCAAATGGAGTTAATGTAAGAAAGAGAAGGATTTGGGATGACTCCACAGTTTCTGGCCCTAAGAGCTGGGAGAATGGAGGTCACTAATACTGATAAGTGGAAACTGGAAGAAAACCAGGCATAGGCTGGGGGTGAGGGTGTAAATGGCTGGGAATCCAATTCAAAGTTCTGTCCACTTGGGGAGGACTTTTAGCCATTCGAACTGGTATGTCGACAGGCAGTCAGGTTTACGACTCTGGGGCAGAGCACAGCACGGGCCGGCAAAAGAAACGACATATGAGCGAATAAACAAGGGAAATTACAGAATTTCATAGAAGAAAGAGACATTAGCTGTCAAAATCCAGTCTCAACATTTAAAGGAAGAGAAAGAGAGGCTTAGAGATGTCACTTGACTTCTTAGAGACCACCTGGCTGGGGAACAGTGCTAGAACTAAGATTTCTCCCAGACCCGGTGGTACCTTCAGTGAAGAAGAGCAATGATCTTTACGCTTTTTTTTTTTTGAGAGAGTTTTTTTTGCTATAGGGCGCGTGCACTTGCCAGACAGACAGAGAGAGACATAGAGACAGAAAGCGAGAAATCACCCCCCAGGGGGGATGGTCACGCCGCAATCCCTTCTCCTCCATTCCCCTCTCGAGATCTTGGGCACGCACGCACACGCGCCCGGCATGAGTTTTAAGCCACCAGGTCCGGGACGCGAACCGCAGATGACTACGTGGGAGTCCAGCAACATAGCCATTACGCTAACTGCTGGTTCCCATCTTTACACTTCTTAAACTTAAAAAAAAAATAAATAAAAAATTTAAAGGCAAAAAAAAAAAAAAAAAAAGGCCAGCAGGTGGCATAGTGATTAGGGCTCTGGATCCCACACGGCCGGCAGTGTAGTTCGAGTTCTAGACTGCATGTCTTGAAAAAGACACCAGGGGTGCATTTGTGTGTGCCCCAAATTCCTAGATAATGGAGGAGAAGGTATTGTAGTGTGGCCATGCCCCCTGGGGAGGGGGTGATTTCTCACTTTCCCTCTTTAGTGAGGGAAAAAAAAAAAAAAAGTAAAAAATATTATTGGAAACTACCTGTAAATGTTATGAAAGCTTGGTAAACGTTTTCATAAAATTTACTAGAGGTGGATTTTCTGCATTGAGGTATTAGTAAAAACCATTAATATTTAGCTCTAGAATTTTCAGGACAAAACTCACAGGGCACAAAGAGAAAGACTGATGCCTGGGAATGTCCCTGTGGGAGACATCGGAATGGCCGTGACGCTGACAGCCTGGCCTGCACAGAGCTCACTTCTGGGACGGGGTCCAAGGTAAGTGTCATGTCCCTGACAATTTACAATGATTTTGACGTGGCTGTGAGGCACAGTGCCTTGAGAGGGATTCTAGGGTCACTGTAGGCACCAAAGGAAAAAGTGCTGTGATCAGTGAGAAATGTCCACTTGGCCAGCAGGTGGCGTGGTGATTAGGTGCTGGCTCCCATGTGGCTGACTCTAGGGTTCGCGTCTCAGACCTGGCAGCTTGAAGACATGCTGAGTGTGTGTGCATGTGTGCCCAAACCCAGAGAGGAGAATGGAGGAGAAGGGACTGCAGTGCAGCCATCCCCCCTGGGGATGATTTCTCACTCCCCTCCCCTCCACACACACAAGTACATGTGCCCTATGGCAAAAATCTGGAAAAGAAAAAAAAAAAAAAGTTCCTTGGATGGGACAGTGGCAGGTCCTACGTATGGGACATTGCAGTGACCAAGACAGTCTCCGACACTAAATGAAGATGATTAAGGTTATGCTTTTTCTATTGGCTTTTGTTAAAAAAGCAGAGGTATGATAATACTCAAATAAGTCTGTCCTAAAGATACAACAATTAGCATTTCAAAACATAGGAAGTTCATATGGAACACTTAAAACGTCTGAATAGTTTTGCTTTTTGCCAGTTTGTAGCAAATTAAGAATCAAACTTCAGGTCTTTCTGTTGCCATCCTCAAATTATTAATAGACTATAATAATAATAATAATAATAATAATAATAATAAAAACCCTCAAAGCTATAGGAAAAGTGTTCAAATAATGAATTTCCAAGACTCCTTTCCTTTTCTCTCCCTGGCAAAGGCTCAGCTCACGCTCAGAGGTCTGCTAGTGGGCACTAAGGACATGGTGCACACACTGATGGGACTGTCCGGCAGTCCCCGGGCTCCATTTGTTCCCAAGGGCTGCCCCAGGGATGTTCTCTCTGATCTCTGTAACAGTTACGAGAGGACAGGCATGGAGGGTCAGGGGACATTTTATCCTATCTGCTCACTTGAGAAATGGGGAGCTAATTTTGACTTCCATCTTTTTAAGTACTACATTTAAAAAATTGTGCTATAGGGATGAGCAGTTAGTATAATGGCTATGTCGCTGGACTCCCATGTAGTCGACCACGGTTTGAGTCCTGGACCCAGTGCCTTAAACTCATGCCGGGCGCAGGTGCGTGCGTGCCCAGGATCCCGAGAGGAGAATGGAGGAGAAGGGATTGTGGTGTGGCCATCCCCCCTGGGGGGTGATTTCTCACTTTCTGTCTCTCTGTCTCTCTCTTTCTGGTGAGTGCACGCGCCCTATAGCAAAAGCCTCTCCAAAAAAAAAAAAAAAAAGAAGAAAACATTGTGCTATATTTCAGTCAACCAAAATGCACAGAGAAATAACACCTGTGTATCCACCCCATAGATTAATAACAGAACTTTCCAAGTACGGGTGACATTCCTCAGGTATACTACTCCAATCATAACTCCCTTCCCTCATCCAAGTGGAAACCCTTGTACTAAATTACTTTATGTTCTACCTTTTTAAAAAGAACATGTAATCAAAGGACATACTGGGCTAGGAGGCATTTTTGCAAAGGGAAACATAGACAAATACGTTATGACTTTTCCAACCACCCCACATTTGAGAGTAAAACATAAACAAACCCAGAATTACTTTTTGGCTGTTGAATTCAGTCCCGCAGGCGTAGACGGTTGTTCGGGATCCTGGTTAACAAGGCAAGTTGGAAAGGAGCAGCCGTCACCTAGACTATAATTAAAATAAAAACTTACTATTGAACCATTAAAAAGGCAGGACACGTTATTATCACAGGCGAGACGTGTATGAGACGTTGGTTTCGGCACGGTGCGGATGTTAAAGGAGATCACGAGTTAACTGATTTCTGTGCTCATGTAACAGTGAATCATAAAGTGATATTTCAAAAAAAATAGAGGAGTTTTGATTTTTGCCAGCGTGTCACAAATTAAGAACCAAATTTCGGATTTAAATAGAGGAGTTTTGATTTTTGCCAGCGTGACACAAATTAAGAAACCAAATTTCATGTTTTTCTGTTGTCTCTCTAGGCAGAATTACATACCTGTAGAAGTAGAGGCTTTTCCTGAAATTACAGTTTTTGTTGAATTACTTTCACTGAAAATTCATTTGCAGTTGAAAATCTAAAAAATGTAACCACAAAGTACCTTGAAAAAATGGGTAGCAACCAGTACTTCTTCTCATCACCAAACACCTGCCGCATGTTTTTGCTGAAGCCCAGGCTGAACCCGTTCTTATCTGTTCCGTGTCGAAATACGGGACTTCTGAATGCCTCTAGAAAAGAAGGCAAAGCAATTACAAGAGGAAAGATTGAACCTGCTGGGAATCCCTAATGTACAGAGATAATTAAATGTAATGACATGCTGAGAACCGAGGGCTACTCTCCCGTGAGTATTTAATGCATCTATCAACAGCCCTGAAATCACAGTAGTGATTTTCTGATGTCGTAGTACATCAGAAGATGTCTATTTTACTTTAAATAACCCCGGAGTTATTACAGCAGTACAATTGTGGAAAATGAGTAAATACAAACCAGCAAATAAATTAAAACTACACCTTCTGGATCTTTTGATAGAGAAATGGCTAGATGAGCAGATAACCATATATACAAACCAACATAGTCTTTTCAGCCAACATGAGACTAGACTTTACTTTTCGATAGAACCGACATTTTTCAGTCAATAGTCTCCATTTTCCAATTTGAGTAGAAATTGATCTCAGAAAAATTTTAATCATAAAATGTTTCCGGTTGGCTCAGAAATGTACTTTAACGCTAGTTTGTCCAAACGAGGACCCGTGACCCTCCCCAGCACCATCCGCTGCATCTGGTTATGCTGGCTCTGCAGATGAAGCTGTGGTCCAAAACGGCTCTTAGACTTGCCTAAGGAGACACTATGAATGACAGAAGTTGACCTTGAACAAAGCCATCAGTGTTTCTTCTTGAAATAGACTGGAATGCAAGATCTAAAATTTTATTTTGGGACTAGGAATAAAGGCAGAAGTATCATCAATGTGTCCAAATTTTATTTTGGGACTAGGAATAAAGGCAGGAGAATCATAAATGTGTCCATTATTATTTTTTTTGAGAGGTTTTCACTATAGGGCGCGTGCGCTCGCCAGACAGACAGAGAGAGACAGAGAGACAGAAAGCGAGAAATCACCCCCAGGGGGGATGGTCACGCTGCAATCCCTTCTCCTCCATTCTCCTCTCGGGATCTTGGGCACGCACACACACGTGCCCGGCGTCAGTTTTAGGCCACTGGTTCCAGGACTCGAACCGCGGTCGACTACGTGGGAGTCCAGCGACATAGCCATTACGCTAACTGCTGGTTCCCGTCCATTATTTTTAAAAGAAGAACCTAGCAGAGTCAGGTACCATGAAAATATGTGGCAACTTGTGAAATCCTTATCAGGGATGACCCCAGGATTTACAGCTTTTTATTAAACATTTTTATAATTATAGGACTGCATTGTCCAGAACAAATCTTTCAACTGCAAGTTAAATGTAGAACTTTCTAGATGCCAAATGATTCTAGAAACACCTCACTTACTTGTGGTAAGTTAAATTGTCCAATGTATAATTTGAAATAAGATAGCTTGCTTACTTATTATACCAATATCTTCACCCTAATAGTATTTGCTGTAATAAGATTTCACATGAATATTGACTACAATAATTAATCCTCACTGTATATTATAAAAATAGAATCTCACAGGAGATTTAAGTATACTTTGTAACCATAAGGATTTACAAAGTCCCAACTGTATGTGCAAACTCAACCCTAGCCTAAAAACTCTACATAGTTTAGTGCCTAATCATGTCTTCACTCTCATAATATATTTTTCATTCTTTGGCTATCTATGCTCCAAGCACGTAAATAGTTTCTCAAATATTTCTCTGTCCTGGGACAAGCAGTTGGCGTAATGGCTAGTCACTGGACTCCCATGTAGTCGCATCTAGTTGACCACGGTTCCAGTCCCAGACCCAGTGGCTTAAACTCATGCCAGGCTCATCTGCGTGCGTGCCCAAGATCCCGAGAGGAGAATGGAGGCAAAGGGATTGCGGCGTGGCCATCCTCTCGGGGGGGAGGAGGGTGATTTCTCGCTTTCTGCCTCTCTGTCTCTCTCTTTCTGGCGAGTGCACATGCCCTATAGCAAAAACCTCTCAAAAAAAAAAAAAATTCTATTTCCTCTCTTCCTATGGGCTTGTTTTATTTTGAAGTGAAATTCACAGAACAGAAAATGAATCTCTTTTAAAGTGAACCATTCGATGGCATTTGTATTCACAGTTTTGTGCAACTGCCACCTACATCAAGTTCTAAACTATCTCACCACCCCAAAGGAAACTCAATACCCATGAAGGGGTCACTCTCATTCTCCCTCTTCTCCACCCTTGGCAACCATGAATATGATTTTTCTCTACAGATTTATTATGGATATTTTATATAAATGGAATCATGTAATGCACAGCATGTTGTGATCAGTTTTTCTTACTTAGCATTACACATTAGACAAGTATCATGCTTCCATTTTCATGTCTGAGTAATATTCTGTTGTGGGGCCAGCAGATGGCGTGGTGGTTAATGGTGCTGGACTCCCACATGGCCAATTGCAGTTCGAGTCCTGAATCTGGTGACTTGCTTTCTCACTTTCCCTCTCTCCTTCTCTCACTCTGTCCCTCTATGACCAAACGGAAAGTGAATAAATAAATAATATAAAATAATTCTTTTAAAAAATATTTGATTGTATAGCTATGCCATTCTTGGATGGGCATTTGGGTGGTTTCCATCTTTTGAGTATTGTGAATAGTGCTGCTATGAACAAACATCTACTTGAGACTTTGTTTTCGATTCTTCTGGGTATATACCTATGAGTGCAACTGTTGGTTCTTATAATTCTATGCTTAACTTTTCTATCACAGTCGCACCATTTAATATTCCTACCAGCACGATACGACAGTTCAAATCTCTCCACATCCACACCAGTATTTGATTTTGTTTTTCTGATTATAGCCATCAGAGTGGGTATGAAATAGCACCTCACTGTGGTTTTGATTTGCATTTCCTTAATGACTAATGTTGAGTATGTTTTTCTGTGCTGGTTGACCATCTCTGCCTATTATTTAAGAAATGACTATTTAAATATGTGTTCGAATCCTTTGTCTTTTTTTATTTTTTAAGAGAGATTTTTGCTGTAGGGCACATGCGCTCAATGGAAACAGAAAGAAATAGAGATAGAAAACAAGAAATCACTCCCCAGAGGGGATGGCCATGCCGTAACCCCTTTTCCTCCATTCTCCTCTTGGGATTTTGGGCATGCATGTGCACACACCTGGTATGAGTTTTAAACCACCAAGTCTGGGTTGCAAACTATGGTTGACTACATGGAAGTTCAACAATGTAGCCATTACGCCATCGGCTGTTCCCTCCTCCTCTGTCAAATTTTAAATTGGCTTGTTTGTTTCTTTGTTGTTGACTTACAAGATTTCCTTGTATATTCTAGGTCATTATTAACTATATGGTTTGCAAAGATCATTCTCAGTCTGTATGCTGTCTTTTTAAGGTCAATTGATAATATCTTTTGATGTACAAAGGATTTTAATTTTGAGAGTCTAAATTATGTATTTTTTTACTTTGTTGCTTATATTTTTGATGCTATATCTAAGAATTCATTACCATATTATCCCTATTTTTTCTAATAATTTTATAACTGTAGCTCATCTATCTAGGTCATTAATACATTTTTGAATTAATTTTTGTAAATGGTGTGAGGTAGGAGTCATTTCATTCTTTTCCATGTGGATATCAAGTCGTCTGTCCCAGCACTATTTATATGGATTGTTATTCTTTCCCCATTGAACAGTTTTGGTATCCTTGTCAAAAATCAGTTGGCTAATGTAGTGTTTATTTCCTGTCATTTCTATTTCGTTGGTCTAAACATCTATTCTTACACCAGTACCACATTATTTTGATCACTGTATCTGTGCAATAAGTTTGAAACCAGGAATTGAATCTTCCAAATTTGGAGGTTTTTTTTATTTTGCTTTGTTTCATTTTTTGGTAAATACTAGTTTTTGCTAATTGGGAACTCCTGCAATTATACATGAATGTGAGGATTAGCTTTTCCATTTATGAAAAAAATGCCATTAAAATTGCATTGATTCAGGCTAGCAAGTAGTATGGTGGTTAAGGTACTGGAATTCATATGGCTAATTCTACAGTTTAAATCCTGGACCCAGCAGCCCAAAAATCAAGCCAGGTACATGTATGTGCATGTCCAAAATCCTGAGAGGACAATGGAGGAAGAGACTGTGGTGTGGTCATCCCCCACAGGGGGTGATTTCTCACTTCCCCTCTCTGTCTCTCCAGCAAGTACACGTGCCCAGTGGAAAAAATCTAAAAGAAAAAAAATGCACTGACTCTGTAAATCACTTCTAATAGTACTGTCATCTTCACATTAGGTCTTCCAGTCTATTTACTTAGGTCTCTTCCATTTCTTTCAGCAATGCTTTTTTGGTTTTCAGTGTGCTAGCATTGTACCTTCTCGGTTAAAGTTAATTCTAGGTATTTTATTGCTTTGGGTATTTTTGTAAATGAAATTGTTTTGTTACTTTCTTGTTTGGATGTTTTATTTGTTTGTTTATAGCAATACACTGATTTTTCTGCAAGTCAACATTATAACATGAAACTTTCTAGATTTTGTTTCTTAGTTCTAATAGTTTTATTTTGAATTCTTTAGTTTTCTATATACAATCATGGCTTCTGTCAACAGGAATAGTTGTATTGCTTACTTTTAAATGCCTTTATTTCTTTTTCATGACCTATTACTTTCGCTAGACCTTCCAGTACAAAATTGAATAGCAACAGTCGAGGTGGTCTTTGTTTTCTTTCTTATCTTAGAGGGAAAACTTTCAGTTTTTCACCACTGAGTATGATATTAGCTATAAATTTATTATAAATGCTCTTTATCAATTGAGGAAGTCACAGACTATTTCTAGAAGACATTAAGTGTTTTTTCCTCAATTATTAAAGCATGTTCACTTTTGCTGAGTACTTTTTTATGCAGGATTTGAGATGATCATGTGTTTTCTCCCTTCATTACTGAAGTATATTAACAATGATTGATTTTCATATATTGGACCACCCTTGCATTCCTAGAGTAAATCTCACTTGATCACGGTGACTGATCTTTTTAATAAGTTGCTGGGTTTGGGATGCTAGTATTCTGTTGAGCATTGCTGCATCTGCTGTGGTTTTGGATAAGGTCTGTTCCCTCAGGTTCGTGTGCTAGAAGCTTGGTCCCCGTTGTAATCATGTTGAGAGGTGAAAAGACCTTTGGAAGGCGGGGGTGAGTGGGTGGTGTTTGGATCATGGGGGTACTATTCTCATGAATAGATCAATGCCATCTTGCAGGAAGAAGTGAGTGCTTGCTCTCAGGAGAATGAATCGGTTCCCAGGAGAGTGAACTGAAATAAAAGAATGATGGCCGCCCGTAGGTCTCTTCCTTACTTTCCACATACCTGCTGACTTTTCTGCCATTTTATGATGACGGAGCTGCCAGCTCCACGCCTTTGGACTTCCCAGTCACCAGAACAGTAAATCTCTATCCTTTATAAATCACCCAGTTGCAGGTATTTCTGTTTAATAATATAATAAAGACTAGAACGGCATCTATATTTGTAACAGGTAATGGGCTATAGTTTTCTTGCGGTGTCTTTGTCTTTGGTACGAGGACAGTGCTAGCTTCACAGACTTGGCTAAGAAGTATTCTTTTAAATACTGATGAGCTGGAGAAAAACTGGTGTTAATTTTTCTTTAAACATTTGGTAGAATTCACCAATAAAGCCATCTAGACCTGGACTTCTCTCATTTTCTTTGTGTACTCTTGTAGTTTGTCCACTTCATCTAGGTTAACAATTTTTTTGTTTTGTTTTAACGTTTAGCTTTGTTCTTGCCATAGGGCACATGTGCTCACTGGAGAGAGACAGTGACAGGGAAAATAAAAAATCACCTCTCGAGGGGGGTGTGTGGCGGCGGGGGAGGGGGGGATGGCCGTGCTGCAACCCCTTCTCTTCCATTTTGCTCCTTGTCCTATTTGGTGATACTTTAAAAAGATTCTAGGAATGAATGCACACATGCCCAGTGTGGTTTTCAGCCTGCTGTATCTAGGACTCAAACCACTGTCATTCATGTGGGAGTCTAGCACCTTAATCACTATCCCACCTACTGGCACAGTTACCTAATTTTTTAAACACATGATAATAATTCAAGGTATTCTCTTGTAATCCTTTTAAAGTCAGTAGTAGTGTCCCCACTTCAATTTCAGATATTTGTGATGCATTTTCTATTGTTTTCTTTATTGCTAATTTGTGTTGCATCTTGTCTCTTTTTTTATTTATAGTTAAGCCTTGTCCTATTTGGTGATACTTTAAAAAGAACCAACTATTGTTTTCATTGATTTTCTATATTTGCTTATTCTCTGTTTCCGCTGTCTTCTATCTTAATTATTTCTTTCCTCTATGTTTCTGTTATGTACTTTGCTCTTCTTTCTCTAGTTACTTACAATATGAAGTTATTGTCTGAAATATCTTTTTTCATATATGCATTTATAGCTATACGTTTCCCTCTAAGTACTGCCATTGCTGCACCCCATATCTGGAGGGCTTTAGAACACACTCTTTTCTCTAAGATGTTCTTGCTGTTTCCCAAGCTGACTTCTTAGGTTAAGTATGTTTTACTATGGAGAACCCTTCCCTGCCTAATTCTAAATGGATTTTCTTCAGCCATCTCTAGCCCTTTGCTCATTTGTCACCTTTCTTTTTGTTTCCTTCAAAGCACTTTGCATTTTATAATTACTTTTATATTTTGTTATTAACTTTTTTTTTTTTTTGCTATAGGGTGCATGCACTCATGAGAGAGACACAGAGAGACAGAGAGACAGGAAACAAGAAATCACCCCGAAGAGGGGATGGCCACACCGCAATCCCTTCTCCTCCATTCTCCTCTCGAGATCTTGGGCATGCACGCATATGCGAAAGGTGTGAGTTTAAGCCACCGGGTCCGAGACTTGAACCATGGTTGACTACATGGGAATCCAGCGACATAGCCATTTTGCCAACTGCTGGTTCCTGTTATTAACTTTTATGCCTCTCACTAGACTGTTTTGATCTTGCTCACTACAGTATATCCATAATGCCTTATATACAATAGAAAATAAAAAATGTATGGAATGAGTGAACTCGTACATGTTTAAATAGTATCCTACTAAAAAAAAAGGAAATAAGATGATTTTTACTACTTCATAAGAGGGAAACATTTAATCATATGGCAACTATCAATTCATATCTATATGTCATTCATGTATTTAAAGTTCTGTCAACTACAATACATCGATACTCACCTAATGTAGATTTATTTTTGCTGACTAGCCAACAATGATAGCCAAACAGAGAAGACAAGCTGACAGAAAACATAGCTGCAGCAAAGAATAAAAACATAATATGGAACTTGGCTTGAGTATCAGGTAGGCCATTCTATAAAGAAAGGAAGAAAATGTTTTGTCAAAGGGATAAATGTTCCCCTACTTCTGTAAATTAGTAAGATTTTTTTTATTAAAAGTTTTCCTGAATTTAGAAATGGAGATACACATGTTTTTCTGTTAATATCTCTGTATATATATGTGTAAGTATACATATATACATATATATACATGTACAAAAAATATATATTTCATCAGATTAAAATAAATGTCTACTGGAATATGAATATAAATACGAAAATTCTTAAAATTTGGAATATTTACTTTGTTTTACATAACTAAATCATGGGAAAATCATGGTAGTATACATGTAAGCGTAGGTGTAAGAAGCAAGATAAAAGGAAGTAGACAATGTAGTTTTAAATTTACTACCTGAACATGTGCTGTTAGCAGATTCACAAACATTTAGTTTTATTGTAATGCCAGAAAGTGAACATTAACTGGCACAATTTAGCTGTTATCTCACTGGTGTTTACATTACTACAAACAACAGCATCAACTCAGAGAATACAACAACACACCCACAATAATGCTTCAAGCTGTTTTAAATAATAGCGTCACAGAAAAGATCAACAGGACCAATACCTGTGTAAAATAAACCTGATGATATCCATGACTCTAACAGTCCATCTTAAAAGCAAAACCAGTTTGACTTTCAATGTTCACATCCCCAAGGAGACCCAGACTCATTCTCAAGAAGAGCCCTTGGGGCAATGGACACTTAGCAAAGCCCTGGGGCTGTCGCGTCCAACTCACACAGTTCACAAGATCTCACTGGTGGCTTTTGACAGCAGGGTTTGCACAGTGGAAACCCTGGGCATTTCTTTTCAAATATGTTTTGGGGTTTGGAGCTAAAACCATCCACGGGAATGAGGAGCAGCCAGGTAGGACTCTCTCTCCCAACTCTCATTAGGAATTATTCTTGATGCTGGACACTGGACGTACCCTTGAAAGTCAGGGCCATGTCCGATCACCTGCGTATCCCGTCAGCAACAGTTTAACTGGCGCACCGGAAGCATTCCATGAACTCTCTGGTATTAAATTTGGTCGAAACTCACATAAATGATCTAACAATTCTGAAATTCTTGTCATAATAAAGGACTGTCTAATCAAAATAATAAAAGCAATCCAGGCAGGGGATAAACTGCTTTTTATCAGCATTTGGTGTTCACAAGAACTATCTTAAGAAATTCAAATCATTCAATTTAATTGTTTTGCCTGCATTTAACACATATAGCGCGGAAAGCAAATGAGTTATCGAAGGTCTAACCAAGTAATACGCAATAAGAATTTAGTACATTAGATGTGATAGCTTAAAAGGGAATCTTTTTACATAGCAAGAAAACATTACTATTTTTAAATACTGAAAAATATCTTTCCATATACTCAATTCTCATTAGTTGCAGCACTTATGTGTTATAAAGTTGCCAGGGCCACTGGGTGTGTGAATCCTGAACCACTGTTCCTAGGATTAGGTTCTTCCGAGCACCAGACACAACTTCACCACCGGACCAGTATCTAACTTTATTTTGTGTCTTTCTGCTGAAGGGCACCTACTTAATATATAGTGTTGATTCGTTAGGAAAGAACTCAAGACCAATAGCAAATGCGACTCATTCCTGAATAGAACTTATGCCCGAATGAAACTTATCTAACACATGAATTTTCTCCTTGAGACACAGGGGTCTTCTCTTGTCTCGAAACATTAGACAACACTTCAGCGGTACACTCGAGGACTATTTTTAACAGCAAAATCACCAACAAAAAGCACAAAAATGCAAGGCGCTACATGAACGGTGGAGAAGCACACTTGTTTATGGTGTGAGATCTGAAGCAAGAGGCAGAATGTCACTTTCTTTGACATCAGCTGGGCATGTGCACGTGGGGCAGCAAGAGACCTGCTGAGGGGGTGAGCTGGCGGACGCGGAGTGTGCACAGGACTGACTGCGTATAAATCCTGCATCTAAACCAGCTCTGGTGGATAAAACCACGGCGATCATTCTCTACCGAAACGTTCCATGTTCTCATGCAAAAAAGTCACCAAGATAATGACTTACTGTCCAGAATTTGATAAAATACTGTAAATCTGTAGCAGCAATAAAAAGGCAGTACAGCAGAGAATAAGCCAAGAAAAGGAGGAAGAACTTATAATTGGAAAATCCAACACAATTGTTCACCCTGTCAACAAAACAAAAACATTTTCAGAGTCTTAACAACTTCAACACTCCGACCTAGGCTTCTATGTATAAGCACAAACTTTACGAAGTGTTCAGTATTCTCTCATTTTTCAATTTATTGGTATTTCTTTAAGTATAATTCATAAGCATTCTCTGTACATACAAACATTAAAAAAGCCATTTCATTAGGAAATTTCTGTGATGAGACTTTTCTTGTATGATAATTAATATTACTTCATCAACCACAATGTAACTACATTTCCTGCCCAAGTGTAGAAATAAGCATAAGCTTAAAAGCAGGTCTGGACCATAATCCCAAAGGGCACAATCCTGAATGCTGAAATCCTGAAAGATCAAAACCCCTACAGTCTAAAATCCCGATAAATCCAAAATCCCCAAAATATAATTCCGGGCAAAACAATTTAAACAATTCTTTAAAAGACACTTACTTACATTTTTAAAAGGAGACTTAACATTGAGAAACAGAAAAACATGACAGAACAATTCATAGGCCACTTTACAGAATAAAATAGGCAATAAAAATACACACATTTTTGCAGGCATAAACACTCACCTGTACAAATGGTGGTGACATGGTTACAATGACCAGAAGAATTGTATTCACAAAGAACTAAGTCAAAAACCAGAAGGTATAAATGTATGTATCGCTATGGTTGGTAATTGTGTTCACCAGCTTTATAAGTGTGTTTCTGTTTCTCAATGTTAAGTCCCCTTTTAAAAATATAAATAAGTGTCTTTTAAAGAATTTAAAAAATTATTTTGTCCACAATTATATTTTGGAGATTTTTGATAAGTGTGTTCACATGAAATACTATGATGGACAACCTCATCTGGTGGGAGCAGTCAAAAGCTGCAATAGGGATTGACCCCATAGCCTAGTGGCTAAGGGAGCTGGATTCCACAAGGCCGACCGCAGTTTGAATCTGGCCCTCGTGGCTTGAGAAACACGCTGGGTGTGTGTGTGTGTGTATGTGCCAAAGTCTCAACGAGATGGACAAATGAAGAAAAAGGGATAGTGGCATGACCCCACTACACTGGAGAGTGTTTCCTCCCCCTTCTCTCTCTCTCTTTCTCTCTCTCTCTGTTTCTAGCAAGTGCACATGCCCTCTGGCAATTAAAAAAAATAAGATTAAAAAAATGATAATGGGAGCTAAGGTCTGAAGAAATTGTGATTTTCACAAATGCAGATGGATAAAAGTGATCTCTCGTTGACTGACGAAGTCTCAAGGCTTCATGTACGTACACAATGCACACACACAGAACCAATGTTGTGGTAATGCATGTTCCTGGAGGCAACTTTGCAAATACACATGCGACTGATTAGAACTTTTACAAAGTCTGTACACAATTTCTATCTCCAGAACTGGAAATGAGGTGAAGATGAAATATATAACATAGAAAATTGTAAAGAAGAATTCCAGGGCCAGCAGGTGGTATGGTGGTGAAGGCGCTAGACTCCCATATGGCCCACCACGGCTTAAGTCCTGGACCCAGCAGCTTGAAAATCACACCAGATGTGTGTGTGCGTGTGTGTGTGTGGCGTGTGTGTGTGTGTGTGTGTGTGTGTGTGTGTGTGTGTCCAAATCCCAAGAGGAGAATGGAGGAGATGGGACTGTGGCATGGCCATTCCCTCCACCCCCCACAGGATGACTTCTCATTTTCTCCCTCTGTCTCTCTCCAGCAGGTGCACACCCTTTGGCAAAAATCTAAACAAACAAACAAACAAAAAAAAAAACCACCAAAAATTTAAAGTACTCTGGGGAGAGAACGTGACAAACAGATACAAAATTGCAGTTAGAAAAAGCAATAAGTTCCAGGGTGTACTCAAACACAATTAGAATAACTCTAGTTAGTAACAATTTCATGTATTATTCAAAACAGCTGAAAGAAAGGATCTTACATGTCCACAACCCAAAGTAATGATAAATGTTAGGGATAGCTGATGGCTATGCTCTTCGCCCTGGTTTGATTATTACGCATTGCATCCATGTATCGAGAAAGCACTCTGCATCCCATAAATATACACAATAATTATATGTTAATTAAAAACAATTTTAAAAGGCCGGCAGTGGCGTGGTGGTTAAGGATACTGGATTCCCAAAGGGCTGACCACAGTGTGAGTCCAGGACCTGGTGACTTGCTCTCTCACTTTCCCTTTCTTTCTCCCTGTCTCTCTCTGGTCAAATTAAAAATAACAATAGTAATAACAAATGGAATTAAATAAATCATTATTTAAAAAAATTTTAAAAACTGAGGAAGAACTTTTAAAAAAAAAAGGAAATACAAACCAAAAATCTGTTCCCTAGAATGTGGTTCTCTAGGCTCTCATGTTCAGCCAGTTCCTTTTTTCCATGTTTTGCTGGGAAGCGCAGTTTTTGAGATTTTAGCTTTGGGGATTTCAACGATTTGGGTTTTGGGGCCAGCAGGTGGCATGGTGGTTAAAGGCGCTAGATTCTCACACGACCAACCACACAGTTTGAGCCCCAGACCTGGCAGCTTGCTTTCTCACTCTCCTTCTTTCTCTCTCTTTCTTTCTCTCTCTCTGTCTCTCTCTCTCTTTCACTCCCTCCCTCTCTGATAAAATTTAAATAAAAGTCAAATAAAATAATTCTTTAAAAAAAAAAAACACTTTGGGCTTTAATCTTTCAGGATTGTAGTGTTTTGAGATTTTAGACCAGAGATTTCTGACCTTTTTGGATTTGAAAATGTGGGATGATGGCCTTTGGGATTGTGTTTTTCAGGATTAAAATTGGCACTACCTAAAAGCACAGAGTTAATAAAAAAAACCTAACAATTCAGACAGTTAAGAGGAATTTACTAAATCCTTCTCTATGTTATTTATGTTGAATTTGATTTCCCACTATGATTACATTAAAATCTTTCCAGTTTTTCCAAGTTAGATAAAATATCTTCCAGGTTGTCACTAAAATCATCGGATTATCAAAGCATATTAAGTGGGAGGGTTAAGAAAAGCCATCAGACTAGGATCCACTAGGCGGCAGACTGCAATGCCCATCTGACACTAAATAATGACATGGCCCTGAGGAAGAAACAGTCTATCAGAATTTTATTTTCCTTTTCTATAACATAAGCATCCTGTGATATTTTCTGGAAGTCAGCTTAATATACTATGATACCAAATATGGAAATATATCAATTTACAGGTCTTCCTCTGAAATCATTACATGGGAGGGAAGTGCAAAATTCAGGCGTAGCAATTAACAAAAATACAAACTCATCTCATTGTAGAGTCATATTCTCTATCAAAGTGGTTTTTTTGTTTTTTTCCTTTTCATAAGAACAAGGGCTGACCTTGTGTACATGTGATACAAAACTTATGCGGAATTGGAAGCTAGCTTCACTGGTCGAGTGAATCCTCTGTCTGCTGGTCTAACAAACCTTCTACAGGGAACATACAGCTACTAAGGCTCTGGACTCGCACATGGTCGGCCACCTTTCCTCACTGTCCTCATTCCCATCCTACCATGGCAAAACAATCTCTCTCTCTCTCTCTCTCAAAACTTTGCTATGAAAAAGAAACATTTTTCTTTCTAGATTTTTAAAAAATAAAACATTTTTTTCTAGATTTTTAAAAAATAAAACTATGTTCACATAAATATGTTTCGAGTTTTGGGCCAGCCTTGTAGTCTAGTGGTTAAGGGAACCAGATCCCAATGGGCCAACTGCAGTTTGAATCCCACCCCGGAGGTCTGAAAAACATGCAGGGTGCATGTGCTTGCATGCCTAAAATTTCCGCAAATGGAGAAATGGAAAGGGGATGGTGGAGGATCAGGCCCCCTTTGGGGGTGCTTTCTCTTCTATCTCTCTGTCTCTGTCTGCCAAGCACACTTGCCCTCTGGCAATTAAAATAAAAGTTTATATTTTTTATCTCTGAAAATATAAGGTGGAAAAATAATACTCTATTTAGTCATTTTTGAACTGAAGGGCCTTTGATATGAGTAATGAATTCATAAAGAAGCCAAAAGCTACAGCTTGGCATATTGTATGAAAAGTTACATGTGTGGGGCTGGCAGGTGGCGTGGTGGTTGGGGATGCTGGGCTCCCACATGGCCAATTGAGGTTCAAGTCCCGGACCTGGTGGCTTGCTTTCTCACTTTCTCTCTCTCTCTCCCCCTCTCTGTTCAAATTTTAAAAGCAAATAAATACATAAAGAAAGAAAGATAAAAAAAAGAATTCTTAAAAAAAAAAAAAGTTACATGTGTAGTGCTGGGGTTTCAGTGGGAATGCAGACCAATTGGTGAGACGGCTTTTCAGGACATCTGAATGAAATAATGGCAAGAAATAATACCGAGAACAATGGGCCTCATCTAACTGCTTTCAACCTCAAAGGGAGATAGGAGGTGCCCTTTGTGTACCTGGGCTGGTTTCAAGGGGAAAGACTTGACAAAGTTTGCGAGACTTCGGACGATGGGAGGATAAGCCATGGCTATGTGAGGAAGGGCCAGCTCAGAGGGGAGAGGCTGTTCCTCTTCCTACAGGAACGTAAGCAGCAGCCTGGTACTAAACGCGAAATAGCATTTTATAGAAAGGAAATTACTTTGATCATAGACATTATAACACCTGAGTTAGCTTACTTTAACTTCTACTTAAGAGTACGACACGATTGGCCAGGTCAGAGCCAGGAAACGCAGGGAAAGGCAGAAAATAAAGAACAGGTATTCAGAGTGTCAGGCACAGACATGGAATTTTGATATGTATACGGAGTCTTCATAAGTTCATGAAAATTGTATATTATAAAAAAGCTAAGCACAGGGACTATGGCATGGCCGTGGCCTGGGGATGATTTCTCACTTTCCCTCTCAGTCTCTCTCAGGCCCCTGCATGCATCTTGTGGCAAAAACCTTAAAAAAAGAAGAAAAAAAAAAAAAGCTAAGCATAACTTTAAGTTTTTGCACCAAAATGCACTTCTACTTTGATTTTGTTTTTCTATGAACTTTTGGAAGCGCCCTCATATTAGTA